GTGACTGTCCCCTGTCCCCGCAGTTCCTGTCCCTGTGCGCCCCGCTGACCCGGGACCACCCCGAGGTGCTGCCGTTCCTCTCCTCGCGCCACCTGCGCGCCCGCCCCGACTTCCGCGGCTCGGCCGAGTTCCGGAACATTCTGGGCCGGCTGCTGCGGCGCGTGCGGGGCCGGCGCCGCAAGGTTTACGTCTACATCAACGAGCTCTGCACCGAGCTGAAGGCGCGGGCGCTGCGGCGCCGCCTCCCGCTGCGGGAACCCCGCGACGCCCGCCCGGAATTCCGGGAGAACCGCGGAGAGCCCCAGTGCTCCCCTGGAGAGTCCCAGTATCCCCACGGAGCGGCCCAGTATCACCCCAGTTCGTCCCAGTATCCCGATGGCTCGTCCCAGTATCCCGACGGAGCGTCCCAGTATCACCCCAGTTCGTCCCAGTATCCCGATGGCTCGTCCCAGTATCCCGACGGAGCGGCCCAGTGTCCCGACGGCTCATCCCAGTTTCCCCCCGGCTCATCCCAGTTTCCCCCCGGCTCATCCCAGTATCCTCCCAGTTCATCCCAGTTTCCCGACGGAGGCTCCTGGTCCCAAGACGGCGCCGGGCCGGAGCAGGACTTGGGGCTGCCGTCCCAGTGTGCCACCAGTTCAAACCAGTGTCCTCCCAGTTCATCCCAGTATCCCCCCATCTCATCCCAGCATCCCGCCGGGGACTCATCCCAGCAGCCCACCAGTTCATCCCAGTATCCCGAGGGCTCCTCCCAGTGCCCCACTGGTTCTCCTCCGCGCTCTGGGGGCTCTTCCCAGTATCCCAACGATCCCAGTGCTCAATCCCAGTATCCCAGCGATCCCAGTGCTCCATCCCAGTATCCCAGCGATCCCAGTGCTCCGTCCCAGTATCCCAACGATCCCAGTGCTCCGTCCCAGTATCCCAGCGATCCCAGTGCTCCATCCCAGTATCCCAGCGATCCCAGTGCTCCGTCCCAGTATCCCGATGCTCCATCCCATCACCCCAAGGCTCCATCCCAGTATCCCAACACCCCATCCCAGTATCCCAGTGCTCCATCCCAGCACCCCAAGGCTCCATCCCAGTATCCCAGTGCTCCATCCCAGCACCCCAAGGCTCCATCCCAGTATCCCAAGGCTCCATCCCAGTATCCCAAGGCTCCATCCCAGCATCCCAAAGCTCCATCCCAGCATCCCAGCGCCTCCTCCCCCTCCTCCCGCCGCCCCCTCCCGTCTCCCCAGGATCCCTCGGGGTCTCCGCCGGCGGCTCCGGGCGGTTCCCGGCGGCAGATCCGTCACCTGGAGCACCTGCTGCGGGTGTACGCGGCCGAGATCCGGCGGCTGCAGGAGCGGGAGCTGGACCTGGCCGAGCTGGACAGCGCCGACTCGCCGTACCTGCAGGAGAACCGGCTGAAGCGGCGCATGATGCGCATCTTCCGCCGCCTGTGCCAGCTCAAGCGCTGCTCCAGCCTGACGGGCCGCGTGCTGGAGCAGCGCATCCGCTTCCGCGGCACGCGCTACCCCGAGGTCAACCGCGGCATCGAGCGCTTCATCAACCGGCCCGACGCCTTCCCCGACTACTCGGACATCCTGCGCGAGATCCGCGGCGCCAGCGCGCGCCACGGGCTGGGGCTGGGCCGGCGGCAGATGGAGAACATGGCCCAGGAGGCCTTCCGGGAGGTGGGGAACCGGCTGCAGGAGAGGAGACACCTGGACCTGGTGTACAACTTTGGGAGTCACCTGACGGATCACTATCGGCCGGGTGAGAGAGGGGAATGTGGGATTGGGAATGTGGGATTGGGGTTGGGAATGTGGGATTGGGAATGTGGGATTGGGAATGTGGGATTGGGAATGTGGGAATGGGATTGGGAATGTGGGAATGGGAATGTGGGATTGGGAATTGTGTACAACTTCGGGAGTCACCTGACGGATCACTACCGGCCAGGTGAGGAGCGGGGAATGGGATTGGGAATGTGGGATTGGGAATGTGGGATTGGGAATGTGGGAATGTGGGATTGGGAATGTGGGAATGGGAATGTGGGATTGGGAATGTGGGAATGGGAATGTGGGATTGGGAATGTGGGAATGTGGGATTGGGAATGTGGGAATGGGAATGTGGGATTGGGAATGTGGGAATGGGAATGTGGGATTGGGAATGTGGGAATGTGGGATTGGGAATGTGGGAATGGGAATGTGGGATTGGGAATGTGGGAATGGGAATGTGGGATTGGGAATGTGGGATTGGGAATGTGGGATTGGGAATGTGGGAATGGGAATGTGGGATTGGGAATGTGGGATTGGGAATGTGGGATTGGGAATGTGGGATTGGGAATGTGGGAATGGGAATGTGGGATTGGGAATGTGGGATTGGGAATGTGGGATTGGGAATGTGGGATTGGGAATGTGGGATTGGGAATGTGGGATTGGGAATGTGGGATTGGGAATGTGGGATTGGGAATGTGGGATTGGGAATGTGGGATTGGGAATGTGGGATTGGGAATGTGGGATTGGGAATGTGGGATTGGGAATGTGGGATTGGGAATGTGGGATTGGGAATGTGGGATTGGGAATGTGGGATTGGGAATGTGGGATTGGGAATGTGGGATTGGGAATGTGGGATTGGGAATGTGGGATTGGGAATGTGGGATTGGGAATGTGGGATTGGGAATGTGGGATTGGGAATGTGGGATTGGGAATGTGGGATTGGGAATGTGGGATTGGGAATGTGGGATTGGGAATGTGGGATTGGGAATGTGGGATTGGGAATGTGGGATTGGGAATGTGGGATTGGGAATGTGGGATTGGGAATGTGGGATTGGGAATGTGGGATTGGGAATGTGGGATTGGGAATGTGGGATTGGGAATGTGGGATTGGGAATGTGGGATTGGGAATGTGGGATTGGGAATGTGGGATTGGGAATGTGGGATTGGGAATGTGGGATTGGGAATGTGGGATTGGGAATGTGGGATTGGGAATGTGGGATTGGGAATGTGGGATTGGGAATGTGGGATTGGGAATGTGGGATTGGGAATGTGGGATTGGGAATGTGGGATTGGGAATGTGGGATTGGGAATGTGGGATTGGGAATGTGGGATTGGGATTGGGAATGTGGGATTGGGATTGGGAATGTGGGAATGGGAATGTGGGATTGGGAATGTGGGATTGGGATTGGGAATGTGGGATTGGGAATGTGGGGATTGGGAATGTGGGGATTGGGAACGGTAAACACGGGAAATGGGGAATGGGGGAGAACGGGAGGGGAAAACTGGCAGGAAAATGGGGCAGGAAGTGGGAAAAAGTGGGAAAAAAACGGGATGAGGGGCAGGAAAAAGGGGTGGAAAACAGGAAAAATTGAGGATGAATGTGGGAAAATGGTGGGAAAATGGGATGAGGGGCAGGAAAATGGGGTGGAAAATGGGAAAAGTGCAGGATAAAAGCTGAAAAAATGGGATGAGGGGCAGGAAAATGGGGGAAAAATGGGAAAAATGGAGAATAAACACGGAAAAATGGTGGGAAATTGGTGGAAAAATGGGATAATGGGCAGGAAAATGGGGTAAAAATGGGAAAAGCAGAGGATAAATGTGGAAAACGGGATAATGGGCTGGAAAACGGTAAAAATGGGAAAAACAGAGGATAAATGTGGAAAAATGGTGAGAAAATGGTGGGAAAACGGGGTAAAAAGTGGAAAATCGGAGGATAAATGTGGAAAAATGGGATAAGGGGCAGGAAAACGAGGAAAAAACGGGAAAAACGGAAGATAAACGTGGAAAAACGGTGAGAAAATGGTGGGAAAACGGGGTAAGAAGTGGAAAAACGGAGAATAAAGGTGGAAAACCGGGATAATGGGCAGGGAAAAGGGGGAAAACGGAGGATAAAAGCGGGATGAGGGAGCCGTATCCGGGATTTCCCGGCAGGGACGGACCCGGCGCTGTCGGATCCCGAGCTGGCGCAGCGGCTGCGGCGGAACCGGCGCCTGGCCCTGGCGCGGCTGGACGACGTCATCGCCCGCTTCGCGCAGCGCCAGGAGCGGAGCCAGGAGATGGAGGAGAGCGGCAGGAAACGGGAACGCAGGAGAGCGGCCGGGAACAAGGTGGGGAACAGCCGGAAACAACAGCGGGAAACAATGGGAAATGGGAAATGGGAAACGGGAACGGGGGAGAGCGGCCGGGAACAAGGCGGGGAACAGCCGGAAACAACAACGGGAAACAACAACAGGAAACAACAATGGGAGCAGGAAATGGGAATGGGAACGGGAATCGAGGAGAGCGGCCGGGAACAAGGCGGGGAACAGCCGGAAACAACAACGGGAAACAACAACAGGAAACAACAATGGGAGCAGGAAATGGGAATGGGAACGGGAATCGAGGAGAGCGGCCGGGAACAAGGCGGGGAACAGCCGGAAACAACAACGGGAAACAACAACAGGAAACAACAATGGGAGCAGGAAATGGGAATGGGAACGGGAATCGAGGAGAGCGGCCGGGAACAAGGCGGGGAACAGCCGGAAACAACAACGGGAAACAACAACAGGAAACAACAATGGGAGCAGGAAATGGGAATGGGAACGGGAATCGAGGAGAGCGGCCGGGAACAAGGCGGGGAACAGCCGGAAACAACAACGGGAAACAACAACAGGAAACAACAATGGGAGCAGGAAATGGGAATGGGAACGGGAATCGAGGAGAGCGGCCGGGAACAAGGCGGGGAACAGCCGGAAACAACAACGGGAAACAACAACAGGAAACAACAATGGGAGCAGGAAATGGGAATGGGAACGGGAATGGAGGAGAGCGGCCGGGAACAAGGTGGGAAAACAACGGGAAACAACAGCGGGAAACAACAACGGGAAACAGCAACATGAAACAATGGGAATGGGAAATGGGAAACGGGAAACGGGAACGGGGGAGAGCGGCCGGGAACAAGGTGGGGAAACAACGGGAATGGGAACGGGAAACAACAGGAAACAATGGGAATGGGAATGGGAAATAACGGGAATGGGAATGGGAAATGGGAAACAGGAACGGGAACGCAGGAGAGAGGCCGGGAACAAGGTGGGGAACAGCCGGAAACAACAATAGGAAACAACAACGGGAATGGGAACAGGAAATGGGAAATGGGAAACGGGAAACGGGAACGGGGGAGAGCGGCCGGGAACAAGGTGGGGAAACAACGGGAAACAACAGCGGGAAACAACAGCGGGAAACAACAACGTGAAACAATGGGAACAGGAAATGGGAAACGGGAATGCGGGAGAACGGCCGGGAACAAGGTGGGGAATAACAACGGGAAACAACAATGGGAACAGGAAATGGGAATGGGAACGGGAAATGGGAACAGGAACAGGAAATGGGAAACGGGAATGCGGGAGAACGGCCGGGAACAAGGTGGGGAACAGCCGGAAACAACAATAGGAAACAACAACGGGAATGGGAATGGGGGAGAACAGCCGGGAACAAGGTGGGGAACAGCCGGAAACAACAATAGGAAACAACAACGGGAATGGGAATGGGGGAGAACAGCCGGGAACAAGGTGGGGAACAGCCGGAAACAACAATAGGAAACAACAACGGGAATGGGAACGGGAAATGGGAACAGGGGAGAGCCGGGAAAAAGGTGGGAAACAACGGGAAACAGCAATGGGAAACAACGGGAATGGGAATGGGGGAGAACAGCCGGGAACAAGGTGGGGAACAATGGGAAACAACGGGAAACAACAGGAAATGGGAACGGGAAATGGGAAACGGGAACGGAGGAGAGCGGCCGGGAACAAGGTGGGGAACAATGGGAAACAACGGGAAACAACAGGAAATGGGAACGGGAAATGGGAACAGGAACAGGAAATGGGAACAGGAACAGGAAATGGGAACAGGAACAGGAAATGGGAACAGGAACAGGAAATGGGAACAGGAACAGGAAATGGGAACAGGAACAGGAAATGGGAACAGGAACAGGAAATGGGAACGGGAAATGGGAAACGGGAACGGAGGAGAGCGGCCGGGAACAAGGGGGGGAACAACAACAGGAAACAACAACGGGAAACAATGGGAGACAACAATGGGAAACAATGGGAATGGGAAACAACGGGAATGGGAACGGGAATGGGGGAGAGCGGCCAGGAACAAGGTGGGGAACAACAACAGGAAACAACAACGGGAAACAGCAGCGGGAAATGGGAATGGGGGAGAACAGCCAGAAAGAAGGTGGGAACCAGAAATGGGAAACGGGAAACAACGGGAACGGGAAATGGGAACAGGAAATGGGAACAGGAAATGGGAACAGGAAATGGGAACAGAAATGGGAACAGGAAATGGGAACAGGAACAGGAAATGGGAACAGAAATGGGAACAGGAACAGGAAATGGGAACAGGAAATGGGAACAGGAACAGGAAATGGGAACAGGAACAGGAAATGGGAACAGGAAATGGGAACAGGAACAGGAAATGGGAACAGGAACAGGAAATGGGAACAGGAAATGGGAACAGGAAATGGGAACAGGAAATGGGAACAGGAACAGGAAATGGGAACAGGAACAGGAAATGGTGACCGGGATTCCCCCCCGAATCTTTCCTCGGCAGAGGAAGAAAGAGGAAGAGGAGGAGGAGGAAGAGGAAGACGAGGATGAGGAGGAGGACGAGGACGAGGATGAAGACGACGAGGAAGAGGAGGAAGAGGAAGAGGAAGGAGAATCCTCCGAGGCCGAAGGGCGGGTGAAGGTGAAGGAGGAAGAGGAGACGGAGGAGGAAGAGGAAGAGGAGGAAGAGGAAGCCGAGGAAGGAAGAGAAGCCACAGCGGTGCAGGGTGGGGCTTCGGGGGGAATTTTGGGAATTCTGGGGGGATTTGGGGGGAATTTTGGGAATTCTGGGGGGGATTTGGGG